TGGTAACGCATGCCTGTAATCCCAACTACTTGGGAGGCTGAGACAGGACAATTGCTTGAACCTGGGAGGTGGAAGTTGCAGTTAGCCGAGATTACATCACTGCACTCTAGCCTGGGCAACAGAGTGAGACCTTGTCTCAAAAAAAAACAAAAAAAATGTAGAATACTTTTTCTCCATTTCATCATGTAGCCACCTGGAAATCTGAGTGTTCAAGAATGCAGTGTATGTGATTCTATTTAAAGAATAGTACATGGAGACCCTAAATGTCCCCCTTGCCTACAGCAGTGCCTGAAATGCCCACATTAGTTTTGTCTTGGAGTTGAGGCTTATCTTCAAAATACTGTTGAAATATACATTGAAGGTCAATAACCATGCAAGTTTTAATGATGTCAGAAGAATTGCTAAAAACTTTGAAATACAATGGACACAACACAGAGGGTCCCCGAGCTGCTGGGGAATTCTAAAATATGCCAGAAGTTGAATGTGGAGGCTACTGATTAGCTTTACCTGGGAGCTTCTGTTTAGTTAGAAATCTGAGTATCTCCACTTACAACTTGTCTGCTGTGTCTGATATGTACATGTTCACTTTATTTTTGAGGGGGCTTTAATGCCTTATCAAAGGTGATAGAGTATAGCTTAAGTGTGGTCAGCCTGCCTCCATTACACAAAGTGGCAATTCTTCCCAATTCACTGCTGTCATCATTTTCAGGGATGTTATAGCAGTTTCTTTCTACTTTTAATCCTCACAAATGTGTGCACATATTCCCAGGACTCTCTCTCTCTCTCTCTCTCTCACACACACACACACACACACACACAAAGCTAAGAAGTGTACAATACTGCCAGTTCCCCAAAAGGTGCCCCAATTCCTCTGGTGGGTCCAGAGTGATCTTAAGTGAATCTCATACTCACAGGATACACAGCTTGTTATATGCGGAATTTGGAAATCTGCCCCATTTGAAGGATGCAATTTCATGATCATGTCTTCTTAAATTGCTAGTAGCATAAGGAGTCCTGAGCCATTCTGAAGGAGAACATAATGAAAACTTTGTGGCTGAAGTGAAAAAATACCTGCTTAGCTGATGAAATGTTGTATAGAAATTTAAGCAGATAATCACAACTTTCTCAGTTGCAGCATGAGTTATGAACTCTAGGAATTCACTCTCTTAAGCAAGCCAAATCATGGAGAGGAAAATATATTTGCTCTGTATGGAAAATTTTATCTCCTTTCAGTTACATTGAATAGGTAAAAACTCCTCCAGAATATTCTCCAAAGCAAACTATTCGATTATTTTCTATTTTTCTATATATAACTTTCTTTTTAAAAATTATTTTTTTCATTTTTTACCCTAGGATCTCAGTGTTTAGGTTTACAGAAGAGAATATACTTTAGGAGGCAAAAAGGAAGATACTTTAGGATGCAAAAATTCCAGTTTCTTTTTTTTTCTGATACTTGCCTTTTTTAATTAGACAAGAAATAGTTCTGAAGTCATTGTTCCATTTGGGAAATCAATGTTTGATAATAAAACTTCTATTGGTGGCTCATTTTTAAAATCTGGGTTGAATCCTGTTTCTCTCCTAGTTGATAATTTGGTCCTGTCATCTCAGAGGATGGATCATTTAGTGGTTGATTTGTAAAATGAAAAGATGTATTGATCCAATTACCTAATCATTCATTTTGCCATTCTACAAATTTCTATTTGAAATAAGCCATAATCTCAGCCTCACGTATTTGTTAAGGAGGCAGAAATGTTAATAGTTAAGGGAAGTGGGATATGTGCTTATGTATCTGAGGTCTGAAGAGAGGCCTATAGGAGTAATGAACAATAAAAACAACCCCAACCCCCAAAGTTTGGGGATGTTCCCTCTATTTTGTTAATAGGTAAAACAAATACAGCTATATAAATATAAACTCTCGTTCCCTACCCTCTTCTCATCTCCCTACCCCAATTCCATTTCCTTTTCCTCTGAAGTAACCATTGCTAACAGCCTAGAATGTTTCTTCTCCATCTTTCTTAGAAAAATATACAAACGTGCAGATTATTTTCCCCCATAAAGGATTATGCCGTGCACATGACTGTGCATCTTGCTCAGGTGTCCAGTGGTTTCCGCAGGTTATACAGGACATTAGCTGCCTGCCTGGCTCCCTCCCTTTCTCCCTCCCTCCCTCCCTCTGTTCTACCCTCTAGTGTCACATCTCAAATCATCCTGTTCAAATAAGCATCTCCCCTCCCACCCCCATCCTCCCTGGTCACATTCTATTCTCTCACCTCAATTTATTTTTTCTTCCTATTTGTTTAGTGATGTACCTGCCCCTCTCTAACCCCTATCAGAATAAAATCTCCATGTGAGAGTGACTAATTTCCTCTCTATTCTCAGTGACTAGATCAGTGCCCTACAAGGTACCTCAGCAAAAACTTGGTAATGAATGAATTGGAATCATTCTGTTTACTAGCTGCAGGAATGTCTGGAATAAGGGGAAACTGTTATTTATGTAACCATTCCCTTTCAATGGTTACATAGACATGCAAGGGCTTTCAAGCTTTAGTCTTTTTTTTTGAGATGGAGTTTTGCTCGTTACCCAGGCTGGAGTGCAATGGCACGGTCTCGGCTCACTGCAACCTCCGCCTCCTGGGTTCAGGCAATTCTCCTGCCTCAGCCTCCTGAGTAGCTGGGATTACAGGCACGTGCCACCATGCCCAGCACCATCCCGGTCAACATGGTGAAGCTTTAGTCTTTATAAGCAATGCTGCCGGGCACTGTGGCTCACGCCTGTAATCCCAACACTTTGGAAGGCCGAGGCAGGGGGATCACCTGAGGTGAGGAGATCAAGACCATCCAGACCAACATGGTAAAACTCTGTCTCTACTAAAAATACAAAAATTAGCCAGGTATGGTACCATGTGCCTTTAATCCCAGCTACTCAGGAAGCCAAGGCAGGAGAATCACTAGAACCTGAGAGGCAGAGGTTGCAATGAGCCAAGATCCTGCCATTACACTCCACCTGCAAGATAGAGCAAGATCTGTCTCAAAAAAAAAAAAAGAAAGAAAGAAAGAAAGAAAGAAAGAAAGAAAGAAAGAAAGAAAGAAAGATGTTAGTAAATGGGATTGCTGGGTCCACGGTAGTTGCACTTTCAATTTGAATAGATGATGCCCAGTTACACTGTTAAAAGATTATTGCCATTAATACCTACCTGCAATGATGAAGGCACCTGTTTCCCCTAATTTTTCTCTGATAACAAGATGTTATTCGTGTTTAATTTTAGCTAATCCAAGAACTGGGTGTGGAGGGAGATATGTCATTCTAATTGGCATTTCTGTGTAAATAATCCAGTTTGAATATTTTAATATGTTTTATTGACCATTTTTCAGCTTCTGTGAATTGCCTGTTTATAACATTTTGCTATTGTCTTTTGACTTGTCTGCCATCCTCTTACTATGTTTGGTATTAATATTGAGCATATTAATCTTTTGTCAGGTGTGGCTATTTTTCCAGTCTACTTTTTGTTTTTCAAGTTTACTGTTTTTGTCATGGAAATCTTTACATTTTTATGTAGTCAGATATATTACCTTTTATATTAGGCTTTTAGGCTTCTGGGTTTCCAGTTTTGTATAGGAAAGTTTCTCCTAAGGCTAAACCATATTTTCCTGAATTTTCTGGTAAGATGTCAATTTTTAAAAATAGTTGTCTCCTAAGCAATGAAATTTTTTATTTATATACAATTTTTTGTTTTTCCAAATAGATTTTCTATTATGTAAATACCATATTTTAGATAAATCATCTTTCTCTCACTTACTTGAAATTTAAATATATAACCTTGATTTAAATATAACTTAAATACATAATCCATACATACAAGTAAATATATATGGATTTATATATATATATAGTATACATATTTAAACTTGAATCTCTTTCTTGATTCTCTATTATTGTCCTGAACTATTTGTCTATTCCTATGTATAATTCTTATATTCCTGTGTGTGTTTAACTATTTAATTATGGTACATCTGAGTAAAGTTTAATATCATATAAGCTAAATTCTCCTTCACAAACCTACCTTTTCAAAATACTGTTGCTAATCTCAAACACTTATGCCATAAAAATGTTTGTTTATTCCAATGAGGCCCACCAGAATGATGTATAAAATTTGGCTTTAAAAAAAAACATAAAACATCTGGATTCACTAGGGGGATAGACTGGAGTGAGAAGTGAGTTGGTTGGGAGGTGGTCTTAGCAATTAGGCAAGCTAAACCAGGGCCTTAACACCCAGGTAACAGGAGGGTGAGCCACATCCAAAAGAGAATCAACTGGACTTGGACTCTGATGATTAGATATAAAGTATGAAGGAAGTTGAGTGATAGCTATTAGAGTGAAGGAGTGAGCAAATTGTAAACCCTTTCCCAGAGTTAGGGCTATGGAGAAAAGCATTTTTGGAGGTAGACAGGAGGGAAGAAGGTGTATATCCATTTGTGGACAGGTTGAGTTCCACTCATGAGAGCCATTGATGGGCACAAAGAAATTGAAGATGATGATATTAAACATTTGGATAACTTTAACGTATTTGAAAGAGATTTTTAAATGACGTTCTGGAGCTTTCAGGCATACTTAAGTTCTTATTCACTTTCTTGTGAGGCCTCACTTTTTTTATTTTTCCTGACTCATTTCTACTTTTGGTAGCTTGAGGGCAAATTATTGTAAATTCCCACCTTTGTTCTTGAAAACTGGGAATTTATCCACAGGTGGTAAAATGTCAGTTTTTGAAAATGTTTGTTCTGATGTGTAAAAATATTTTCTACAAATATTTATATTAATAGTTTTATAATAGTTTTGCAAAACCCAGTATTTTATGGTCACTACCATTTTCTCTGTATCATAAAAACTGAATAGGCTACAGAGTACAAATGATTTTGACTATTAAAATAATATATCATTTTGACTTAAGGTATGTTGTAGATGTGCTTATTCTCATGGCATTTTCTTTCATTTGTCTTTTCAGAACTTGATAGCCCAGAAGAGTTAGGGAAAAAGCGTATCTGCAGGATCATCACGAAAGATTTCCCACAGTATTTTGCTGTTGTTTCACGGATTAAACAGGAAAGCAACCAGATTGGTCCTGAAGGTGGAATTCTGAGCAGCACCACAGTGCCCCTTGTTCAAGCATCTTTCCCAGAGGGTGCCCTAACTAAAAGAATTCGAGTGGGCCTCCAGGTAGCAGTCACAAAAAGTTGTTTTCTTCAGTATGTGCAGAGCATGCGAATACATATTTTGCTCTGGAAATAGTTATCCTAACTCATCCTTAATGATACTGCTAATTAGGCCATTTTGGGAATCATTTTCCTATGTCAAATAAAAAGCATCAAGTGTAAAGTTAGTTAACTGGCCTGTTAAATAAGGGACATATTTTAAGGTTCTTCTGTATAAAAGTCTCAGTTGGTTTCTGATGAAAAATAATTTTTTCAGTCATAGGTTATTGGTCTCAGTATGTGGAACGGCACACCAAGCCATAGTTTATGATATGCCACATCATAAAAATCAGTTATAGTGAAGCCTGAAAGCTTTAGTGTTTTGATTTGATTGAAGTAAATCATAAATACTGGGTTTTATCCAAACCAGTTGGAACTTGATTTGGTTTGGAAAGCTGACTGGAAATCTTGGAAAAAAGATTTTTCTTATATTTATTTCAGTTAGACTTTAGTTCTTTCTTTCTGTATTGAATAAGGAAAATGAACTAAAATAACTTAACTGGTGCTATTATTAATATAGTAAGTAATAGTTTAACTGAAGGTTCACGTTCTTCTTGTGAGCCTGGACTCTCCTGCCCAATAGAGTTACTGGGTTTTTGTTTGTTTGTTTTGAGCCAAATACTCTTAAATCCTGAGATGATCTTTAATAAATACTCAGCTCTAACGAGACCACCCTACATTTCAGGGGTATGAAGCTCCCTTCATCTGTCTCCTATATCAAATTATGTCACCAGAAAGAAAAGAAACCAAATGGTAGAACAGAGGCTTGGTAGACTAGAATTGAAATCTTTGAAATTTTGAATGCCTTTTTGTTATTAACTCTGAAAGCCTCAGTTTTTATGTGGGTATGAGTTGCCCTTATGAGGTTTTACTGAACGTCCTGCATAGGTTTAAAATATATTAAACCTCAGCATATATTGTCCTTTAATTTGGACTAGGCTAAGACACTTCTCTGCCATGAGACTAGATCCCCTCTCTTTCATGCAAGCCAGTGCTATTCGTGTTTTACAGGGGAAGTACTCAGACTGGCCCATTCCTGCCATAGTGTTTGGTTTTCTTTATTCATGCTTTCCTAAAATAGTAAGAAATGTTAGAAAAGCAAGACATGGGGGCAGTTTTTTTCTGGTTGTCTGTTTTTTTTTTGTTGTTTTTTTTTTTTCTTCTTCTCACTTAAAAAGTAAACTTCCTGATGGAAAAAAAAAAAAAATGTTACTTTCATTTAAGGTCCTTTCTCTGTCTCTAGGCCCAGCCTGTTCCAGATGAAATTGTGAAAAAGATCCTTGGAAACAAAGCAACATTTAGCCCAATTGTCACTGTGGAACCAAGAAGAAGGAAATTCCATAAACCAATCACAATGACCATTCCGGTGCCCCCGCCCTCAGGAGAAGGTGTATCCAATGGATACAAAGGGGACACCACACCCAATCTTCGTCTTCTCTGTAGCATTACAGGTTTGGTTAAGTCACTGCTGTACTTCCTGTTGATTCTCAGAGATTCTGTACAAAGACATAAAACCTTTGAAATATCCATGCCAACATTATAAGAGAAAATCAAAGAACAAAATATTTTACTTGTCCATCACCTCATCTCTGATTTCCCCAGGATAATTTTTTTTTTTTTTGAGACGAAGTTTCGTTCTTGTCACCCAGGCTGGAATGCAATAGTTCGATCTCGGCTCACCACAACCCCCACCTCCTTGGTTCAAGCAATTCTCCTGCCTCAGCCTCCTGAGCAGCTGGGACTACAGGCGCGTACCACCATGCCCAGCTAATTTTTGTATTTTTAGTAGAGACGGGGTTTCACCATGTTGACCAGGATGGTCTCGATCTCTTGACCTCGTGATTCACCCGTCTCAGACTCCCAAAGTGCTGGGATTATAGACGTGAGCCACCGCGCCCAGCTGATAATTTCTTTAAGATCCTGACTTAAACTTAAAATTTAGTGAGAGCATCTTTCCTGCGATTAAGGTTAGCATTAGTTAGAAGTATCACTGAATCTACTGGAGCATCTGGGTAATTTCTGATTCGATCTAGGTAATTTCTTGGTGACCTAGGTAGATGTAATGGACCTAGCAGCATACTTTAAATTGCAAGGAAATTGGGTGGACTTTGGGAGTAATACATGTCCTGCAGAGCACTAGTAACAGGAAAATGTTGAGTACATGGTTTTTCTCTCCTACTCTACCCACCAGTGTAATCCTAGAGTTTAAACATTCAGGGCTCAGAAGAACACATTTTGTGATAAGCACATGGAATCTAGAGCTCAGTTCATCCTTTGATTATCCTAATCCAATTTTTAACTGCAAGCCCAAGATTATTAAAAATAGGTTTTGTTTCTGTTTTCTGAGGAGCAATTTTAATGGCTGATGCCCTTTTTTACCCTAGGTAATTAATTGGTGCAGCCATGTACAGAATGAGATGTTTCTTAACTTGAGTAGTTCTTACCTTTTAAAAGAGCAAGAGGTAGGGCACGGTGGCTTACGCCTGTAATCCTAGCACTTTGGGAGGCTGAGGCAGGCAGATCACGAGGTCAAGAGATTGAGACCATCCTGACCAACATAGTGAAACCCTGTCTCTACTAAAAATACAAAAATTAGCTGGGTGTGGTGGTGCACATCTGTAGTCCCAGCTACTCGGGAGGGTAAGGCAGGAGAATCACTTGAACCCAGGAGGCAGAGGTTGCAGTGAGCCAAGATAGCACCACTGCACTCCATCCTGGTGACAGAGCAAGACTCTGTTTCAAAAAAAAAAAAAAAAAAGAAGAGACATAATTATCCATCTGAAACAAAAAATCTTTGTACTTACAAATTGCATTTATAAAATATACTTAGAAATTGTGGCTGCCCCAAGTTTAAGCCATCCATTGGAACCCAGACAAAAAACAAGGAATTAAAAAAAATATAACATCGTGGCCGGGCGCGGTGGCTCAAGCCTGTAATCCCAGCACTTTGGGAGGCCGAGGCGGGTTGATCACGAGGTCAAGAGATTGAGACCATCCTGGTCAACATGGTGAAACCCCGTCTCTACTAAAAAATACAAAAAATTAGCTGGGCACGGTGGCACGTGCCTGTAATCCCAGCTACTCAGGAGGCTGAGGCAGGAGAATTGCCTGAACCCAGCAGGTGGAGATTGCAGTGAGCCGAGATCGTGCCATTGCACTCCAGCCTGTGTAACAAGAGCGAAACTCCGTCTCAAAAAAAAAAAAAAAAACAACATCGTACAAGGAAATCACAATAAGCCTGGTAAACGTATAAAAGGAGAGTACAGAGGAAAACTACCTTTAGTACACACTATTAAATTGAAGGTGTTGACATTTGCCAGTTTATGGCTATGCAGAAAGAAGAAAATGATATGATTAAAATTTTACAAGGACCATCTCCCATGATAAAGTCAACATATCTGCTGTTGTTCTCTCAGGGGGCACTTCGCCTGCTCAGTGGGAAGACATCACAGGAACAACTCCTTTGACGTTTATAAAAGATTGTGTGTCTTTTACAACCAATGTTTCAGCCAGGTATGGAAATAAAGAATTCCAAAAAGCAGTAAGGAATTAGTTGTTATTACCTTTTGGAAAGTAAAAATTGTTGTGTTCAATACTAAAAAAATTGTGAGAAAAAAAATCCTTAATATTTGCTTATCAAAATTATCCTCAAATAACAAACACAGGGTTTCTGTGTTCGATAAATGGGAAAAAAATCTTTGCTATTTAAAAGAACAAGTTAATACCCTTTTGGATTAGTTCCTTTATATATTCTGAGTTTTTAAATTGTCAAATTTTTTACGATTTGGCTTTTAAATAGCCACATTTTCACACTTCTGTTTTTTGTTTCATTCAGATTTTGGCTTGCAGACTGCCATCAAGTTTTAGAAACTGTGGGGTTAGCCACACAACTATACAGAGAATTGATATGTGTTCCATATATGGCCAAGTTTGTTGTTTTTGCCAAAATGAATGATCCTGTAGAATCTTCCTTAAGATGTTTCTGCATGACAGATGACAAAGTGGACAAAACTTTAGAGCAGCAAGAGAATTTTGAGGAAGTCGCAAGAAGCAAAGATATTGAGGTACCTCATTCACAAAAACAAGTTCATTACATACCCTAGATATGGAGTTTTATTTTGTCGCCATAATACCACTCACTGTATAATACCAAGTACATTATTGATTCTACTTTTACTTTAAAAAATTTGATATAGATTAATAGTCTTATTCTTATTATTTTTGAGATGGAGTCTCACTATGTTGCCCAGGCTGGAGTGCAGTTGTGCAGTTTCCGCTCACTGCAACCTCTGCCTCTTGGGTTCAAGGGATTCTCCCACCTCAGCCTCCCAAGTAGCTCGGATTACAGGTGCCTGCCACCATGCCTGGCTAATTTTTTTGTACTTTTAGTAAAGACAAGGTTTCACCATGTTGACCAGGCTGATCTTGAACTCCTGACCTCGTGATCCAACTGCCTTGGCCTCCCAAAGCCCTGGGATTACATGCATGAGCCACCATGCCTGGCCTATACTCAAAATTATTTTAAGTGTTTTTGGGAGTTGTCTTAGCTGGTTAAAATGTAGTACTAATAAATCTAAGTTAATGGTCTCCATTTACTTGTGGCCACTTGAGTTGCCTACTTTTCAGAATGACTGTTTATACACATTGATTTTCTTTTTCAAACCCAGTGATCATGTAAGTATCTAAGAGTCCAAAAAAAAAAAAAAACAAAAAGTTTTCAAAATCTATATGAATAAGCGATTGATGTCAGGCACATTCTTAAATATTTTTAAGGTTGCCAGAATAAAAATAAGTATATAATTCTGTTCTGTATATGTCCATGATATGGATTCCAATTACAATTGGTGAATTGTAAGCACACAGCATTATTTTTATTGAAAATAGCACCACAGAAGTAACTGCCTAATAGAGAGACAAATGTGACATAGTAACATGTCAGTCTTTTAATGTTATATGATATAAAATGTCAAAATATTTCAAACTCAGATTAACATCAAATTGTTTATTTCTTTTACTCTAAAAGGTTCTGGAAGGAAAACCTATTTATGTTGATTGTTATGGAAATTTGGCCCCACTTACCAAAGGAGGACAGCAACTCGTTTTTAACTTTTATGCTTTCAAAGAAAATAGACTGCCATTTTCCATCAAGGTAAGTCATCTTCAACAGAGAATCTGTGAATTATGGGGAAAAAAATACTCTTAGAAAATATAAATAATGGTTTTAATGGTTTATTTAGTTTGAAATATCCCATCAAATCTGAACTCCTAAGGTCAAATTTTATTCTAGTTCTACCAGAGTATACTTTTAGCCACTAATGCTTTATAATTGGTAAAAAGGATCTTTAATTTTTAAAGTGTTTAATAACATTTATGTTTACACAAACATTTGTAAAATCAAATAATCTAGAGTAATAAAATGTATTATTTCTGGTTAGTGTTCAGTAATCAAATAATGTATGAAATTCAAATTCAGTATTCAAGTTTCATTTTAATTTCTGGTGGAGCCAAGGGACATTCTAGAGGGATCATCATCTTTCTCCAAGTACAGAAGAAGGCAGGACAATTGTTTTATTGTTATTATTTGCTGTTCCGGTTGCAAAAGCTTAAGCTTTCAGAAGAAAAACCCTGTTAGACAGAAGGAAAATGCACATAACTCAGACTATACTATGAATTCTCAGGATTAGATCATCAGACACAACAATCCTGCAGTTAGGAATTGGGCATCTAATTCTTGTTGAGTTCAGGTTGACACATTATTGTTATCATCTTTTCCCTTTACCTTTCCTGCCTCTCACAGGGCTTCATAAAACAAACATGTTTAACTCCTATGCAGTTAAAAATCCTCAGTAGGTCTCATTCTATAACTATCAACTACCGAAACTTTTCTAGATTAGAGACACCAGCCAAGAGCCCTGTGGTCGTCTGTCCTTTCTGAAAGAACCAAAGACAACAAAAGGACTGCCTCAAACAGCTGTTTGCAACTTAAATATCACTCTGCCAGCACATAAAAAGGTATCTTTTAATACTGCTTTATTTTAACTGTCTTTCCCTGGTCTTGAAGAAGTGGGCCTTTGGTATGCAATTAAGGAATGCTTTGTAACATGGATAAAGTTCTTGAAACTGAAGTTTTGTTAGTCTCCTCGTGTAGATTGCATAAGTCTTGTTACTGTGGTGTCAAATTCTTAAGTTTGTATGATGGAGTCCTCTCTGTTTACCGCTTTTGCTTCTGCTGATAGTGCACAGACTTTTATGCTTTCAAATGATGTCATATGTTACTTTGCCGTGGATGTACAGTTCTTGATATTTTTGTTGGCTTTTTTTAAATTTGCTTTGCTTTCTAAATCAGCTCGCATTTGTGCTCCCTACTCAGTCCTTTTCATATCCTGATATTCTTTTCCCTGCTGTCCATTATAATATTCCTTGTCTCTGCAATGCATCTTGGAACCAAAAGGAGACAGAGTCAGATCAAGATGATGAGGTAATATGAACACTTCTGCTTTTATTCTATCAGAAGTAGAATAGAAATTGAATCTGTATGACAGAAGTTGCAGAGGGCTGAAGTGTGGGAAACAAATTATATCTGTGCAGATCTTAGGAGAAAAGGGTATATATATATATATATATATATATATATATTTTTTTTTTTTTTTAATGGTTGACTCTTCTTCCACACGTAACTAAGAGTACTTCATTATATTCAACAAAATTATAATTCAGCTAATTATTTAAAAACTGAAGTTCTTTAAACATTTTAAAATGTGATAGATTGGCATGTATAAACATTAAATTTTTTTTTAGACAAGCCAAATGCAATCGTGAGAAAGGGGGAAAGAGTAGGACCAGGAAGTTTTATCTATGACTGACTATGAACAGTCAACTTCAGACCATCCAAATAAACATTTTGTAAAAGTTTCAGCCGGGCACGGTGTCTCACACCTGTAATCCTAGCACTTTGGGAGGCTGAGGCAGGTGGATCACGAGGTCAGGTATTCAAGACCCGCCTAACCAAGATGATGAAACCCTGTCTCTACTAAAAATACAAAAATTAGCCGGGCACAGTGGCAGGTACCTGTAATCCCAGCTACTCGGAGGCTGAGAATGGCTCGAACCCAGGCGGCAGGGTTTGCAGTGAGCCGAGATCGCACCACTGTACTCCAACCTAGGTGACAGAAGGAATTATAAGGTGACAGAGTGAGACACTGTCTCAAAAAAAAAAAAGTTTCATGTGCCTATTTCACTATCAACTATATCCTACTATCATGCTTGTTATAAATTTAAATCACGATCACGTTTAATATGTGAAATTTATTGTACAAACTTAGTCGTATGTAATACAAAATATTCGCTCACCAGCTATTGATAAATTGTTGATATTCTCACTAAAGAAATTTATCTTGACCATTTTTTTAAAGAATGTAGCTCAATTAAATTGTCTCCTAATGTTTCTCTAAGTTATATGATAATTAGAATTTTAAAACCCCCACACCAATAGCAATAAGTAGAATCAAGTAGCCTTAGGACTAAGTAATAAATAGTACCTCTGACCAGGCACGGTGGCTCACCTCTGTAATCCTAGCACGTTGGGAGGCCGAGGCGGGGGAATCACCTGAGGTCAGAAGTTCAACACCAGCCTAGCCAACAGAGTGAAACCTTGTCTTTACTAAAAATTCAAAAATTAGCTGGGCATGGTGGTGCATGTCTGTAATCCCAGCTACTCGGGAGGCTGAGGCAGGAGAATGGCTTGAACCCAGGAGGCAGAGGTTGCAGTGAGCCAAGATCATGCCACTGCACTCCAGCCGAGGCGACAGAAGTGAGTGAGACTCTGTCTTAAAAAATATATATATCCAAAAAACTAAACAACAACAACAAAAAGTACTTTCTAACAAAACCAACCATTAATCTGTTTTCAGTCTCCTCATCTACGACTTATGCCTATTAACATACAGATACCCCAGCAGTAATTGGAATAATAAACTTTGTGTGCCTTTCTCCCTTGAATGTACTCACATAGAGTGAGTGTACTTTGTGATATATGTGCTTTCAGTATGAACAGATCCAGGAAAAGTTACTGCTCAGCATCAGAAGTCTCTGTAATGCTTGTCTTTTACTTGTACTTCCCTGTAGTCTGCTGTGTTGGTGCTCTTAAATTTGCCACATGATGATATTTTGGTTAAGACATGGAGGTGGGGTGGGGTTATAGAATCCCAGTAGGAAATTAACATTTCCTAAGAGGAAAAATAAACAAGTTATCCACATGCCATCTTACAAAATGTTTTAAAACTGTGAAGATGTCACAGGGAAGTTGGAAATAGAGTCGCCTTTTTTTTTTCTTTTTCAGATTGAGAAAACAGACAGACGACAGAGCTTCGCATCCTTAGCTTTACGTAAGCGCTACAGCTACTTGACTGAGCCTGGAATGAGTGAGTTTTCTAACACATTTATTAATCTATGTGGATTTTCATAAGAAGAGACATTTTTTCTATACAAACTAAATTTTATTTAGATCAAAGGCAAAAAAAAATTGTCTGCAGGAAAACTCTGTCATATAACTTAGGTAATATTTTTTGTACGTGGTTGAAAATGTGAGGTAAAAACAGCCCTAGCTCATACTTCAAATTAGTTTTTAAAGCCATTCACTATTTTTAAATTGGAAACGTATTACTTTTCCTTTAAAACCCTGATTTTTACTTTGTTAACTATGCTAGGAAATAAATATGAATGTTGCTTTAGATCTATGCTCAGATGAAAAAAAATTTACTCACATATTTAGAATAGTAGAAAAAATGATAAAGTTACTTTGTCATCTCATTTTTCTCCGTATAGATAGGCTGTCATATCCTAATCCCGATTCTTTTTCTTTCCTCTTTGCCAGAATCACATTTCCTTACCTTCTTGAGGTAGCACTTGTTTACAGATTCTTCTTTCCTCGCTCCCTTGCTCTCACTTCCTCTCTTCCTGTCCTTTATTAAAATATCAGTTCTAAGGCTGGTCTTCACTGGGCTGGTTAGATAGACACTTTTCTTTTCTCAGTGATTTTTTTGGTTGTTAGCAGGTTAGCTGGCATGCACTTACCAAGATATAGATTCATTCAACCATATCCATTCATAGATTCTTTCTGTCTGCTTCCTCTTCCCTTCCTTCCTTCATCCTTATAATCATCACTTCTGATGATCTCTACAGCCCTCAAGATAACTCCCTCCACTAGCAGGAACCAGGAGTACTGAGCACAGCACTGTATTTGACTGACATATTGGTGCCACTTTAACTATTCTCCTCATTCTAACTGAGGGGAAATTATACAAAAAATTATTTTTAAATGAGTGAATCATGCCTAGCTGTTTCCCATTGACACAGTTTCTTAAGTTCAAGGAGGTTTGAAAATTCGCCAGTAAGAGTCTCAACTTTGGCTTTTCCCACCTTTTCTGAAGTCTTGTTTCTGTGGGCCAACAACAGAGCACATAAGATCTGCGGCAGGACAATACTGCACTACTCAGTTGAGAGGGTCTTAGCATCATCTTCTGGAGCCTAGCTCCTTGACTATGAGGGAAGTTTTTATATTCAAATACAAAATGGAGAATATAAATGAAAGAAGGCTACCACATTCAAGAATGTTCCCTCAGATCTCAGTTCTCCTCTAGCAGAAATGTCTAAATCCTCCCAGAAACATAAGGGCTGACATTAACTCATATTATGCTACAGAGCAGAAGGGTGTATGGTGTGTGTGTGTGTGTGTGTGTGTAGCTAGATGGTTTCCAGTGGAGCTAAATACCTTGGGGAGGTTTTCTTTGGCATACTATTTTGCCCTAGAGATCCTAAGTGGGTAGTTGGTCGGGACCCTCCAAGCAACATCCTTAAGCTTTGGACAGGTTCAATGGACCAGCTACTTTAGGTCGGAGGCCCCTCAGGCAGGTGAGTTTCCATCTGATTCTGGTCACTAAGGCTAAGTCAATTGAATGTTTCCCACTTATGATAGTATTACTGGTTAGATACAGCTAAGGTGTATGCAGCTTGTGTTCTTGGACTTTTGGTAGAAGAGGAGGGAACTTTTATGAAAAGGCACATAAGGGTGGTAAACAGGGGAATTAATAGGAATTAGAAGTGACTAAAAGAAAACTAAGTCTCAAAACTGGTGTAATAGGAACTCCAAGTGAATGCCACTTTTCCCTCACCAACCCCTTCCCCCTAGACAAAAGATTCTGGATTAGTTCAGTACCTGACATCCAGAAATTCTTTCTTATAAAGGGATCCCAAAATATATGTCATTAAAGCATAAAACATGTAACTGATTGATAGGTTCGTTGTTCCTTGCGAAGTATAAAACCATAGACATGGTTCAAAAGACTTTGCCTGATAGAACCACCCTTCAGTGATAAAGGATAGATGCTTTGTCAATTTCTGATAGTTACAAAAATAAATGCTTATGAGACACAGATTAAGCTCAAATCATTGAATTGAAGGGATCTGTGAACCTTCTACTTGCCGCGGGGCATTTTTCAAAAGAGTTAAGCCATATAATATTGAGAATTATGGCAAGGAGGGGTAATGAATAGGCAAGTTTTTCCTTAGTGCTTCCACTTTCTTTAGAGTAATATGTAAGCCTAGGAAAGGATATGTTCTGGATGTCAAATTTAAATGTACACTAGGAATGAACATCTTCACCCTTGTGGGAGTAGCTGCTAATCCATAGACTGGATTGTAGCAATTGCATGGGCACAGCATGAAGAACAACATAAAAGCTGAAGCAGATTCTCCTTTTCTCTTTGAGTTTGACTCTTCTGAACCAGGGCTTCCTTGGAGGAAAACTGTACTCAGTTTTGATGTAAAACCTCAGCCCTCAGCAGGCCTTGCAAATCTCTGTGACTAGCTTGGTTTGTTTGAGTTGCAGAAGCAGAGAGGACTAAGTATGTGTTTTCGCTCCCCAGCAAGTGTGCTTACTTCATTTGTATGTTTCTTGCTCCATTGCCAGAAGAAATGCTTGGTATTACTATATCCATTCTTTCTAGTGGTAGGTCTGCCTCGTGACTGCTTCAGTGTTTGTGATATCCATGCATCCCATGAATATTAGGGGAAGGCACCAGAATTGGTACCTTTGAAATTGATAAACATATATACACACACCCTATATCCTGTAGGTACTTAAATATGGGGTGTTAAAAATATGAATGCACTTTTTAGATGTCCCCCATGATAGCTTTTGAGAATTAAATGTAGAATAGGTTATGAAAAAATATCTTTGATAAACTGTATGCTTTCATCAAAACGTAATGAAGACAGTTACAGACATGGAACTGTTCAGTTGCAGGTGATTTGATAATGTGCAGTGGAAAACATTTTCCTAAAATCTCAAAAGGTACCAAGACTTCATATCTCATGGAAAAAGTGTACTCTTCTTTCTAAATGCCCTTGTGAAAGTATCTTTAAAGTTTAAATATTGTGCATAATATGGCATACGAATTGTATTACTTCATTGGCTTGTTTGCCATGATATATTGTGCATGATAAAATGTTTTCAGTTGCTTTGCTTGCTTATGGTAACCATGAACCATATTTTCTGTTTTTTCCTTTGTGTGTGTGTGTATGTACACGTGCCTTTTAAAGTCATTCCATATTACGTTTTCTTTTCCCCTCATCAAAAGGAATATACTGCATGGAAAAGATAAATGCAAACATTCCTTTTCTTTGTTTTTGTTTAAAATTCTGACTCAGAAAACTTCTTGCTCTTATTGGCTTTTTATGGGTGTAAAGCATAACCGAACTGTGCATGGGAGAGACAGATTTAAAATCCAGTGGCTTCACAGTTTGCACATCAGTTGCCTGTCACTTAAAAGTTATTTTGGATCCTGCATGAAATAGGCTTGAGTGCTTTTTGAAAAAAGTTTTAGATATTTAATGTACAGCTACATATATTGAAATGGTTCTTAGTAGGTGCAATCTGTATTATGGAAAGGCTAAAGGAGAGAGAGGACATTAGAAATTACTAAAATGAAAGTTGTATGGTTGCACGAAACAAACATGTACCTATACAGGCAAAATAGAACAGCTACTGCTATTTCAAAACCAACACATAAGAAAGTCAATAGGAAGTAGGGAACAGTTTTCCATTGTGGTTATTTTTCTCATCATCAATTCTTTCCTTATGTTTTCTGTTTTTCATTGTTTGCCTCTTCAGTTGCAATGTGCTTTTCATTTCACATTACTCTGTTTTTTTATTTAGTTAGTTGTTTTTTTCTTAACCAGATTAGTTATGTCTGTAGAAATTTATTTTTCCTCTTAATTGTTCCTTTTGCCTCTTCCATTCTAAATCATGCAAACAATTGTACTTGCTTTTGTAATATTTCAAAGTTTACTGACCAATTTTTTTCTCTGGTCTCTCTGTTTCTCAACCATTTTTGTTGATTTTTGTGTTTGATTTCATTTTAAAATTTAAGAAACAGTTGAACGGAGCACAGGAGCAACAAGATCCCTCCCCACCACTTACTCATACAAGCCATTCTTTTCTACAAGACCATACCAGTCCTGGACAACAGCTCCGATTACAGTGCCCGGGCCAGCCAAGTCAGGCTTCACTTCCTTATCAAGTTCTTCCTCTAATACACCATCAGCTTCTCCGTTAAAATCAATATGGTCTGTTTCGACTCCTTCTCCAATCAAATCCACATTAGGCGCGTCAACTACATCTTCAGTTAAATCCATTAGTGACGTCGCATCTCCAATTAGATCCTTTCGGACAATGTCTTCGCCGATAAAAACTGTGGTGTCACAATCTCCATACAATATCCAAGTTTCCTCTGGTACCCTGGCTAGAGCTCCCGCAGTCACGGAAGCTACGCCCTTAAAAGGGCTGGCATCCAATTCTACATTTTCCTCTCGAACCTCTCCAGTGACTACAGCAGGGTCTCTTTTGGAGAGGTCATCAATTACTATGACACCCCCTGCCTCCCCCAAATCAAACATTAATATGTATTCCTCAAGTTTGCCATTTAAGTCAATTATTACATCAGCAGCACCGCTAATGTCTTCACCTTTAAAGTCAGTGGTGTCGCCAGTTAAATCAGCAGTTGATGCCATTTCATCAGCCAAAGTTACAATGGCATCTTCCCTCTCATCACCTGTGAAGCAGATGCCTGGACATGCAGAGGTAGCATTAGTCAACGGATCTATTTCCCCCCTAAAATATCCATCATCTTCCACTTTAATTAACGGATGCAAAGCCACTGCCACGTTACAGGAAACAATTTCTACAGCTACAAACTCTGTGAGCTCTGTGGTCAATGCAGCCACTGACACAGTTGAGAAGGCGTTTTCTACCACAACTGCAATGCCATTTTCCCCACTCAGGTCTTACGTTTCTGCAGCACCATCAGCTTTTCAGTCACTAAGAACTCCTTCCGCAAGTGCACTCTATACATCCCTTGGGTCGTCAATATCTGCAACTACCTCATCTGTAACTTCATCAATTATAACAGTGCCAGTATACTCTGTAGTCAATGTTTTGTCAGAACCAGCATTAAAGAAACTTCCAGACTCTAATTCATTTACAAAATCAGCAGCAGCCTTGCTGTCACCCATTAAAACATTGACTACGGAGACACGTCCTCAGCCTCATTTCAATCGAACTTCATCTCCAGTTAAGTCATCTTTGTTCCTTGCACCCTCTGCCCTTAAGTTGTCTACACCATCTTCTTTATCTTCCAGTCAGGAGATACTAAAAGACGTGGCGGAAATGAAAGAGGACCTAATGCGGATGACCGCAATACTGCAGACAGATGTGCCTGAGGAGAAGCCATTCCAACCGGAACTCCCGAAAGAAGGGAGAATTGATGACGAAGAACCTTTCAAAATTGTTGAGAAAGTAAAGGAAGACTTAGTGAAAGTTAGTGAAATCCTTAAAAAGGATGTGTGTGTAGATAATAAAGGATCACCCAAATCACCAAAGAGTGACAAAGGACACTCTCCCGAAGATGACTGGACAGAATTTAGTTCTGAAGAAATCCGAGAAGCAAGACAACAAGCTGCCGCCAGCCATTCTCCAACTCTGCCTGAGAGAGTGCAAGTAAAAGCAAAGGCCGCCTCCGAAAAGGATTATAACTTGACCAAAGTTATTGATTACCTAACAAATGATATTGGGAGTAGTTCACTGACAAACTTAAAATACAAGTTTGAGGATGCAAAGAAGGATGGTGAGGAGAGACAGAAAAGAGTCTTAAAACCAGCAATTGCTTTGCAGGAACACAAACTCAAAATGCCTCCAGCCTCCATGAGGCCTTCCACCTCTGAGAAAGAATTGTGTAAAATGGCTGATTCCTTTTTTGGAACAGATACTATTTTAGAGTCTCCCGATGACTTTTCTCAACATGACCAAGATAAAAGTCCCTTGTCTGACAGTGGCTTTGAAACAAGAAGTGAAAAGACACCTTCTGCCCCGCAAAGCGCTGAAAGCACGGGTCCTAAACCACTTTTTCATGAAGTTCCCATCCCTCCTGTCATTACAGAAACAAGAACTGAAGTGGTTCACGTCATCCGGAGCTATGAGCCCTCAGCTGGGGATGTTCCCCAGACCCAGCCAGAGGAGCCTGTGTCACCTAAACCTTCACCTACATTTATGGAATTGGAACCAAAGCCCACCACCTCTAGTATTAAAGAAAAAGTTAAGGCATTTCAGATGAAAGCCAGTAGCGAAGAAGATGACCACAATAGGGTTTTAAGCAAAGGCATGCGTGTTAAAGAAGAGACTCACATAACCACAACCACCAGAATGGTTTATCATTCTCCACCAGGCGGTGAAGGTACATCTGAAAGGATTGAAGAAACCATGTCAGTCCATGACATCATGAAGGCCTTTCAGTCCGGGCGAGATCCTTCCAAAGAACTGGCAGGGCTGTTTGAACATAAGTCGGCAGTGCCTCCAGATGTTCACAAGTCTGCTGCTGAAACCTCAGCCCAGCATGCAGAGAAGGACAACCAAATGAAACCCAAACTGGAGCGTATAATAGAAGTCCACATCGAAAAAGGTAACCAAGCTGAGCCCACTGAAGTCATTATTAGAGAAACCAAAAAGCATCCAGAAAAAGAAATGTATGTGTATCAGAAAGACTTATCCCGGGGAGATATTAACCTAAAAGATTTTCTGCCAGAAAAACACGATGCTTTTCCTTGTTCAGAGGAACAGGGTCAGCAAGAAGAAGAAGAACTTACTGCTGAAGAGTCATTGCCTTCTTATCTGGAGTCTTCCAGAGTAAACACTCCTGTGTCCCAAGAAGAAGATAGCCGCCCTAGTTCTGCTCAACTCATATCTGATGACTCTTATAAAACATTGAAGCTTTTGAGTCAACACTCAATAGAATACCATGACGATGAGTTGTCAGAACTAAGAGGGGAGTCTTACAGGTTTGCTGAGAAAATGCTTCTGTCAGAAAAGCTAGATGTGTCTCATTCTGATACTGAGGAGTCGGTTACAGACCATGCAGGACCCCCTAGCTCAGAGTTACAGGGGTCTGATAAGCGGTCCAGAGAAAAAGTAGCCACTGCCCCCAAAAAAGAAATTCTCTCCAAAATCTATAAAGATGTTTCTGAAAATGGTGTAGGTAAAGTGTCTAAAGATGAGCATTTTGATAAAGTCACAGTGTTGCACTATTCTGGCAATGTTAGTAGTCCAAAACATGCCATGTGGATGCGCTTTACTGAGGACAGATTAGACAGAGGTAGAGAGAAGTTGATATATGAAGATAGGGTGGACAGGACTGTGAAGGAGGCAGAAGAAAAACTGACTGAAGTGTCACAGTTTTTTCGTGACAAAACTGAAAAGCTAAATGATGAACTGCAGTCCCCAGAGAAAAAGGCACGCCCTAAAAATGGCAAAGAATATTCTTCTCAAAGCTCTACCAGTAGCAGCCCTGAGAAAGTACTGCTGACAGAACTGCTGGCATCCAATGATGAATGGGTTAAGGCAAGACAGCATGGCCCTGATGGACAAGGCTTCCCCAAAGCCGAGGAGAAGGCGTCCAGTCTGCCCAGCAGCCCAGAGAAAACGGCTCTCTCCCAACAGACTGAGGACAGCAAGTCCACAGTGGAAGCCAAAGGAAGTATTTCACAGAGCAAAGCACCAGATGGGCCCCAGTCTGGATTCCAGCTCAAACAATCTAAACTCAGTTCCATTAGATTAAAATTTGAACAAGGCACACACACAAAAAGTAAAGACATGTCTCAAGAAGACAGAAAGTCCGATGGCCAGTCCAGAATCCCAGTTAAAAAAATACAGGAGAGCAAGCTACCCGTCTACCAAGTTTTTGCTAGAGAAAAACAGCAGAAGGCCATAGACCTCCCAGATGAAAGTGTATCTGTGCAAAAAGATTTCATGGTATTAAAAGCCAAAGATGAGCATGCCCAGAGCAACGAAATTGTTGTAAATGATTCTGGCTCTGATAATGTGAAAAAACAGAGAACTGAAATGTCAAGTAAAGCAATGCCTGACTCTTTTTCTGAGCAGCAGGCTAAAGACTTGGCATGTCATATAACCTCAGATTTAGCAACTAGGGGACCATGGGACAAAAAGGTCTTTAGAACATGGGAGAGTTCGGGAGCCACTAACAATAAGTGTCAGAAAGAAAAACTTTCGCATGTACTTGTTCATGATGTGAGAGAGAATCACATTGGTCACCCTGAGAGTAAAAGTGTTGATCAAAAGAATGAATTTATGTCTGTGACTGAGAGAGAACACAAATTGTTAACAAATGGCTCTCTCTCAGAAATTAAAGAAATGACTGTAAAATCTCCCTCCAAAAAAGTCTTATATAGGGAATATGTTGTGAAAGAAGGGGACCGTCCAGCTGGATTGCTTGATCAGCCTTCCAGGAGGAGCGAGAGCTCAGCTGTGTCACACATTCCCGTCAGAGTTGCTGATGAGAGGAGAATGCTGTCTTCTAATATTCCCGATGGTTTCTGTGAACAGTCGGCATTTCCAAAACATGAACTATCACAAAAGCTGTCCCAGTCAAGCATGAGTAAAGAGACAGTTGAGACACAGCACTTTAATTCTATAGAGGATGAAAAAGTTACCTATTCAGAAATCAGCAAAGTTTCCAAACACCAGAGTTATGTAGGTTTATGCCCACCTCTCGAGGAAACTGAAACCTCGCCCACCAAATCTCCTGATTCTTTAGAGTTTAGCCCAGGAAGGGAATCTCCCTCTAGTGATGTATTCGACCACAGTCCCATTGATGGATTGGAAAAACTTGCACCACTAGCCCAGACAGAGGGAGGGAAAGAGATAAAAACTTTGCCCGTTTATGTCAGTTTTGTACAAGTGGGGAAGCAATATGAAAAGGAGATACAACAAGGAAGTCTAAAAAAAATCATAAGTCAGGAATGTAAGACAGTACAAGAAACCAGGGGGACCTTTTATACAACCAGACAGCAAAAGCAACCTCCTTCTCCCCAAGGTAGCCCAGAAGATGATACTCTAGAGCAAGTGTCCTTTCTAGACAGCTCTGGGAAAAGCCCTTTAACCCCAGAAACACCCAGTTCAGAGGAAGTGAGTTATGAATTTACATCTAAGACACCTGACTCACTCATAGCTTATATACCAGGCAAACCCAGCCCAATTCCCGAGGTTTCTGAGGAGTCAGAGGAGGAGGAACAGGCCAAGTCAGCCTCCCTAAAGCAGGCTACAGTGGAGGAGATAGCAGTCAAGCGTGAAATGCCTAATGACATGAGCAAAGACTCTAACCAAAGACCCAAAAGTAACAGAGTTGCCTATATTGAATTTCCCCCTCCTCCACCACTGGATGCAGACCAGATTGAGTCAGATAAGAGGCATCATTATCTCCCAGAAAAAGAGGTTGACATGATTGAAGTCAATCTGCAAGATGAGCATGACAAGTACCAGCTGGCTGAACCTGTCATTAGAGTACAGCCACCTTCACCAGTTCCTCCCGGGGCAGACGTCAGTGATTCCAGCGATGATGAATCTATTTATCAGCCAGTCCCAGTTAAAAAATACACCTTCAAATTAAAGGAAGTGGACGACGAACAAAAAGAAAAACCCAAAGCTTCTGCTGAAAAGGCTTCCACCCAGAAAGAACTGGAAAGTAACGGATCTGGAAAAGATAACGAATTTGGCCTTGGCCTTGATGCACCTCAGAATGAAACTGCCCAGAATGGGAACAATGACCAGTCCATCACAGAGTGTTCCATTGCCACCACAGCGGAGTTTTCTCATGACACGGATGCCACAGAGATAGACTCTCTGGATGGCTATGACCTGCAAGATGAAGATGATGGCTTGACGGAGAGCGATTCTAAACTCCCTAGTCAAGCCATGGAAATTAAGAAAGATATATGGAACACAGAGGGCATTCTGAAGCCAGCGGACCGCTCTTTTAGCCAAAGTAAACTTGAAGTTATCGAGGAGGAAGAAAAGGTGGGACCAGATGAAGACAAGCCACCTTCTAAAAGTTCTGCATCTGAAAAGACTCCTGATAAGACTGATCAGAAGTCAGGGGCCCAGTTCTTCACACTGGAAGGCAGACATCCTGACAGATCAGTGTTTCCTGATACTTACTTCAGTTACAAAGTAGATGAAGAGTTTGCCACTCCTTTTAAAACAGTAGCTACCAAAGGTCTAGATTTTGACCCTTGGTCCAGTAACCGAGGGGATGATGAAGTTTTTGACAGTAAATCACGGGAAGATGAAACTAAGCCCTTTGGGCTGGCGGTAGAAGACCGCTCTCCAGCAACAACCCCTGATACAACGCCAGCCAGAACGCCAACTGATGAAAGTACCCCAACTAGTGAGCCTAACCCCTTCCCATTTCATGAAGGAAAAATGTTTGAGATGACTCGCAGTGGTGCAATTGACATGAGCAAGAGGGATTTTGTTGAAGAGAGGCTCCAATTTTTCCAGATTGGTGAGCATACTTCTGAAGGGAAGTCAGGGGACCAGGGGGAAGGGGATAAAAGTATGGTCACTGCCACACCACAGCCACAGTCAGGGGACACCACTGTAGAAACCAATCTAGAGAGAAATGTAGAGACACCTACAGTGGAACCTGACCCCAGCAGCCCGACCAGCGGAGAGTGTCAGGAAGGCACATCCAGTAGTGGCCCCCTGGAGAAATCAGCAGCAGCCACTAACACCTCTAAAGTTGACCCCAAGTTGCGCACGCCTATAAAAATGGGAATTTCTGCATCCACCATGACCATGAAGAAAGAAGGCCCTGGAGAAATAACAGATAAGATAGAAGCTGTGATGACCAGTTGTCAGGGATTAGAAAATGAAACTATAACAGTGATTTCAAATGCAGCCAATAGCCAGACGGGCATTAGGCCCCATGAAAAACATGATTTTCAGAAAGATAACTTTAATAACAACAACAATTTGGATTCTTCCACTATACAGACAGATAACATGATAAGTAATATAGCTCTGACAGAACATTCTGCACCCACTTGTACCACAGAGAAAGATAACCCAGTGAAAGTCTCATCAGGAAAAAAGACAGGGGTACTACAAGGACACTGTCTAAGGGATAAGCAGAAAGTTCTTGGAGAGCAGCAAAAAACAAAGGAATTGATAGGGATTAGGCAAAAATCCAAACTTCCCATAAAGGCCACTTCACCAAAAGATACCTTCCCACCGAACCATTTGCCAAACATTAAAGCAAGTAAAACGAAGCAGGTTAGTCAATCCGAGAAAACCAAAGGCCTTACTACTTCTTCATGTGTAGACGTAAAGTCCAGAATTCCAGTGAAAAACACACACAGGGATAACATAGTCGCAGTTAGAAAAGCACGTGCCACACAAAAGCAAGGGCAGCCAGAGAAAGGCAAGGCCAAACAGCTTCCATCCAAGTTGCCAGTAAAGGTAAGACCCACCTGTGTCACTACCACTACCACCTCCACCTCCACCTCCACCACCACCACCAGCACAAGCACAGTTAAAGTTAGGAAAAGTCAGCTCAAGGAAGTATGTAAACATTCCATTGAATATTTTAAGGGAATTAGTGGTGAGACCTTAAAGCTTGTGGACCGCCTCTCTGAAGAAGAAAAAAAGATGCAGTCCGAGCTGTCCGATGAGGAAGAAAGTACCTCAAGAAACACGTCGTTGTCCGAGACTTCCCGGGGTGGCCAGCCTTCAGTTACATCGAAGTCTGCTAGAGATAAGAAAACAGAGGCAGCACCTTTAAAATCAAAGAGTGAAAAGGCCGGCAGTGAGAAAAGGAGCAGTAGAAGGACTGGTGAGAATGAAGGCAGTCAGGTCTCTCGAGCACTCTGCTCACATCCTGGAGAACGAGCATAGTTTGTAAACACTTTCCAACTCGTAGACCCTAGTGCATGAACTGTTGTGATTGCCTGTGGAGTGACTTAACCGTAGTTTCTCATTCTGTCATTGTCATCTGTATGTGCTGTCGTATATACTCTTCTTTCTGCCTTTTGATCAAACTACACAGTAGACAGCTAGGGAAGCATGCTGAAGATATTGGTGTCATTCAAGATGAACAAACTTTTTTTTTTTAATGTGCTAATGGATATGATTCTGTCAAAGTTAAAGCACACATGTTGAAATCCCATCATGGTGTTTTCACCAACACGACACTTCTGTAATATGTTGTAAACTAGCTAGCTCGTCAGCATGTTCAATCCCATTACATTGAGCATCCATGTAGTCTGACATTTGGCCTGATAAAGGTGAAAAACAAGTGAGCCATGTGCAAAGAAGTGTTCATGTAGGTGACTAGGACACATTTAAGTGTACAGTGTTAGCATTAGTCTCTCTGTAAAATCTGCGTACTGCTAAAAGCAATTTTCCAGTATCGTATCTTTCTTGATGATTATTTTAATTAAGAAATTGTAAATTGTAGGTCCACAGAGTCCATGTGAACGGACAGATATCAGGATGGCAATAGTAGCCGACCACCTGGGACTTAGTTGGACAGGTAAGTGTATACGCTCCTGAATGAAACAAATTAGTTTCTTCATTTCTTGGTCTTACTCACAAGCAGTTCAATATATTTATTTGAAGAACAGAAACAAGCAACTAGTAAAAAACATTTTTATCATCAACAATTTTATCTACCCAGAGATAAATACTGATTGTACCTTATATACTGTGTTTTTCCAATGCCTTTGCTACACATATGCACTAAGAAGTAGAAATTTAAATTTATTTTACCTTAAATTTAAGCATTTTCTTCACAATGTCAATTCTGTAGTACAGGATAACCTTTTACCGAATAGCAAGTTTATCTCATAGCACAAAATAAAAACACAGCTAAGGGCTTTAATTAATCCAAATTTTTTCATATGGTTTATGTCCTTAAAGCAGCTTTCTAGGCAACGGTTCAATTAACCCATGCCTAGGTTGCACAAATTTTAGTCATTTACTGTGAAGTCCTCTTGACAGTTTTTACGACATACACATAAAACTTTATTTGCCTGATACTCTTCTTTAGGTAAACTCACTTTTATGTTCAAATATTTATTTAAAACAAAAATCCTGTATCATTTTGATAAGAGGAAAGGATTATTTGCAATTATCTATGTAAATAAGAAAACAATGACAGTTCAAATTTTGAATTAAAAATTTTTAAATATGTAAATATATTTAATTCACAAAAGTTGAATTCTACAAAATAAATGAAGCTATGATCAGTGTATAGAAAAGGAATCTTTGATTTTGTTTCATTAAAGATGAAGATGGCCAGGCATGGTAGCTCATGCCTGAAATCCCAGCACTGTGGGAGGCCAAGGTGGGCAGATCACTTGAGGTCAGGACCAGCATACCCAACATGGTAAAACCCTGTCTCTACTAAAAATACAAAAATTAGCCAGGCATGGTGGGCACTTGCTTGCCGTCCCAGGTACTTGGAATGCCGAGGCAGGAGAATCGCTTGAACCCAGGAGGCGGAGGCTGAAGTGACCCGAGATCATACCACTGCATTCCAGACTAGGTGACAGAGTAAGATTCCATCTCAATAATAATAATAATAATAATAATAATAAAAGTTGATCAGATTTTATATCAATAGGATGATTCTGCATTGTAATTTTGAGCTTAACAGGACCCTCAAAATCCTACCTCACATGAACCTGAGAAATTTTAAGTTTTATAGGTTAAGTATATTTTTTAGTGCATGGTCAAATAATAAATATTCATTATCATCACATTTAAAGTCATCTTGCATACCATTAGCAACATACATTCCATACAGTTATCTCTGTTTAAAGGGAGAATATGAAACTAGATAATAGGAAGCAATTTCATTTAATTTTTTTCCTTGGAAAGCCCTCAGCCCCCATCCACCCTCACCACCACTACCCCATATCAAACCTCCTCTCTTCATCAACCTAGTCTCTGCTCTCAGGTGTACTGCTTATGACTGGGAGCTGAGTGGAGTTATGAAAAGACAGGTGGTCTGAGTAATGTTTTGTAGGCAGTTGAGAGTTAATAGTAATTTGTTATGTATAAATATTTACTAATATCTAATATTTATATTTTAACATTGGACATTGTAATCTGAAATTATAATGGAGCAAATGTTTGTTTTGCATTATATGCTCAGAACTGTTAAGTTATTTTCCTTAAGCAAATACAGACAGTAAATTTTTAGAGATGTGGCTTAATGGCCAGACAAAAAGCCATAAACCTAAAATTCTTAGTCAGCAAAGTCAGTGTCTTTGCTCTTTATTAAGTCTCTAGACAATGGATACAGTTTTGTCACGAAGTCCTGTTGGGCAGTAGGAGTATTGCTCTTAAAATACAGAGATGAAGAACTTAAAATAGTTAACTTCTCTAAGTAGAGTTACTGTATGCTCAATGATAATTATTAAGAATATTAAGCATTTAAGAGAACAAAATTTACATCTGTCCCTAGAAACCACTATTAACACCTTATGTGCTTTTTTTTTAAAAAAAAGAACTTTTTATAATGTTATACATATAATGTAATCTGCTTTTTTAGTTGTAACTGTGGTTTTCTACAAATTAAATATTTTCTGATCTCAGTTTTAATGCATTAAAAAAAAATCCAACAGATGTACCTTATGATGGTGGTTTTCTAACTGTGATTCACATTGCCTCAGTGAGTCATAAAATCAGTTCATGCTTTGTTTTTGTTTTTAAATGGAATATTATATAAAAGAATACTGCATATTACATGTATTAAGGCTAAATTTTGCTCCATGGAGATCTGATTTTATTTATTTAAACACCACGATATATAATGTATTTTTAACTATAGGCCATTATCAAAACAATTGTTTGAAAACCACTGCCTTAAATTAACTCTTATTCTTTTGTTCAACATGTGGATTGTTTTCAGTGAACATTCATGTATGTAAATCATTGTATACAACCTTTATATATTGTCAGGGTACATTTCTAAATGTGAATCACTTGGTCAAAAGATAATGGATTTTTTTTGAGCTTCCAAATGCATTTTGCAAAATTGATGGAAGTATTTTGTAAGGGGGATAGAGTCTTGACCAATTCCTTTCCCATGGGATCATTTTTGCCTATTTCTTACTTTTTGTCATCATTTAAGGTAACACACACTTGATAAACTGTTTTAATAGATAAAAAAAAAAAAGTGGGAACTAAGTCTTCTTCCCTTCTCTGACTTCTAAGGCAGCCTACAATACTGAGATCTTACATATCTTTCCAAAGACACGCTGCAGTTTACAAGATTGAATATATGAGTATATATGATATATCCAAGTAGAGGGATAGAAAGCTGCCTCCCTTTAATGTTTAATCAAGTAGCTTCATATCATATACGATGATCTGGCCTGGAGTCATCATATAACCTCCTGTGTGGAGTTCATGAAAGTTCAAGGCATAAAAGGTAGAATATTATGTAAATAAAAGGTACATTTCATGAAAATTGGTTAGCACAAACCCTATCAGCATCTCTTGTGCCATATACATGAATTGTATACCCCTATCTTGTAATTTTCCCAAATTGTAGAGAATTTGGCTGAATTAAAAGAATCATGCAGTATCCTCTTTGTAAACTCCAAAAGTCTTTAATTTTTTTGGAGACAGGGTCTCACTGTGTTGCCCAGGCTGAAGTGCAGTGGCACAGTCTCAGCTCACTGCAACCCCTGCCTGCTGGGCTCAAGTGATCCAACTCAGCCTCCTGAGTAGCTGGGACCAAAGGCTTGTGCCACCGTGCCTGGCTAATTTTTGTGGGTTTTTGTTGTTGTTGTTGTGTATGTGTGTAGATGGGGGTTTTGCCATGTTTCGCAGGCTGGTCTTAAACTCCTGGGCACAAGCAGTCCACCTGCCTCAGCCTCCTGAAGTGCTGGGATTATAGGTATGGGCCACTGTACCCAGCCTAAGACCAAAAATCTTTATAAGATCTCTAAAAAAAAAAAGTCTGATTATAAGTAATTATCTAAGGAAAGTTACATCACAGCCTGCGTATGATCACTACTTTGCTATGAAACCAAGTATATAAAGATTAATGCCTGAGGCTGTACTTGAGCTTGACGGTAAAATTCCTTTTTCTCTTTATGGCAATTGAGCATTACTTTTGTGAAACATGTGTGATAAAAGTAGAATATGCAATCTTAGTAACTGTCTTTCTTTTCTACAGAACTGGCAAGGGAACTGAATTTTTCAGTGGATGAAATAAATCAAATACGTGTGGAAAACCCCAATTCTTTAATTTCTCAAAGCTTCATGTTATTAAAAAAATGGGTTACCAGAGACGGAAAAAATGCCACAAGTATGCCAAAATTGTATTATTTTAACTTTCAAAATTGCATATATGTAATATTTTAGATAAGCCGACTGTTAGGTTCATTCAAGTATTGTTCTAATTTTCTGTAATCTTTAATGTAGAAAAATAAAATAAGAGTAATCATGAGGTAATAGCAAGTCTTTTGACATTATACTTGTATAATTTAGTGTTAATAGTTTAAACTTCTATTCTTCAGAAGCTCTTTGGAAAGAAAGTAGCAGGGAATTTTTTTTGCATTTGGCCTGCCTTTCTCTCTGTATCCATCAAGACTCAAAAAATAATTTTAGTTATTAAATCAGTTTCTGGGACACAGTCATCAGAAACACCCTGAAGTTACCACTATGGCTGGAGGTGGATGTACAGAGAGAAGACAGAATCATATTAGGAGAGCAAATACTTTTATTCAGCTTGGTTGGCTCTACTCTTGTTGGGTTTGGTTCTGTTGCAGCTGGGACTGGGTGGTAGTGCTGTATTTTCACAAGTGCCAACCCACAACAATGTGGAATAAGTTATCGTGGGTTTGCCTATGTCAACTTGACCTTAGAACGTCATTAAAATGCTAAGTACCAAATATGAGGATGACCTATTTTGACATTCTAAGAGGAAAGGAAACTATTTAGTTTTATTAGATCCCCTTACAACTAAAAGGAGTCTAGGTATTTTAAGGCCCATCTGCTCTGTTATAGCGGATCTACAGCTTTACAAAGTGATGATTAAGACTCTGACATCTTCCCTGTAGCAGCGAGCATTCTGAGTCCTCTGGGTGGGGAGATTGCAGAGATGGAGTAAGAAGGAGATAAAATGTCAGGAGGGTTGCAAAAGCCATGCCTTTGTGTAGATATTGTGCTGATGGAAAGAGCCGAATTTAATTGGGTTTTCAACCTTTTTTCTCCTTTTCAGCTGATGCCTTAACTGCGGTCTTGACAAAAATTAATCGAATAGATATAGTGACACTGCTAGAAGGACCAATATTTGATTATGGAAATATTTCAGGCACCAGAAGTTTTGCAGATGAGAACAATGTTTTCCATGACCCTGTTGATGGTAATTGAATTTAGTGTTCATATTTATTCAATCATTTGATAAAATTTGTAAGTGCAGTCAGACAAGGCAGTCACTTAAAACCAACTAAACTGTGATTTGCTTGACTTAATTTCTCATTTTCACAGTATTTTCTCTGCCACAGTCTGCAAATAAACACTCTGATAGCAGAGCAAACTTGGTAAATATCTCTGTTTATATACAATCTAAATCATGAAGTATGCAAGCATAAGGTATCTGAAAGAGTTGGTATTTCTAATATTTCACATGACCAAATGGGAGAAAGTTAAATATCTAGAGAATGGATTGCTTTTGTCACTTTTAATTTTTATATTAACTCCCTCAAACTAGTTACCCCTTTTGTTAATATATAGGTAAAACAAATGAGCCATTTTTATCAAATAAGCAAGGTATTGAGTAAACTGTAGGCAATATAGTATACAAATTGTAAGGTAAAATGGCAATTTACTGTTGGGCACCAAGTGTTTAAATATGCACTGAAAAAGACTGACGTATCATACAAATAAATGCTTTAGTTATTTAACATTTTTTTTAACTTCATATGCTGCCATTTAGTCTTTGGAAAAACTGCTTGATCTCTTGTATATCAAAGGCAGCATGATTTCTAATTCAACCAGCATAGATGTTACTACTAATGATTCCTCTTTCACATTAGCTTAATTTATATAATAATCTTGTCACTTTTTCCTCATTATGTAAATTGGTGCTTTTTTTCACTGAAGTATTAAGAAAAACATAATAAATAGCATACTATGTTTTTCAAAATAGTCCTGCCTTACCTTCACAAATGAAAATTTATTCCTACAATAAATTTTTGTTTTGTTTTTGAGACAAAGTCTTGCTCTGTCACCCAGGCTGGAGTGCAGTGGCATGATCTCAGCTCACTGCAACCTCTGCCTCTTGGGTTCAAGCCATTCTCCTATCTCAGCCTCCCGAGTAGGTGGGACTATAGGTGTGCACCACCACACCAGCTAAATTTTCATATTTTTAGTAGAGGCAAGGTTTCACTGTGTTGGCCAGGCTGGTCTCAAACTCCTGACCTCAACTGATTCACCCATCTCAGTCTCCAAATGTGCTGGAATTATAAGCATGAGCCATCCCAGTGAGCCTCTACAATGAATTTTGAGTAGAAAATTTGATGATAGTGTGGAGGCAGGAAGAGGAACTAGGAATCTTTTTCTACTATTCCGTTTTTAAACTGACAAAGTTAGACTAATAAGAGTCACTGACTTCTAATTAATTTGTGGAAAAATATCTCAAAATTCTTAGAAAGTTTCTGCTTATTAAAAAGTTTAAGTCTGGCTGAGCACAGTCTGTCTCTTAAAAAAAAAAGGTCAAGTCAACAAAAAATTTAAAGTATACTTGTTATCCATGTAACAAACACAATGGGTAATAAAGTAAAAAGCAGTTCTTTTTAGGTTTATAAATACCTTATACCATTGGGAAAATGCTCCCTTTGAGCTATGTCTTATATGCAAGGCCATGTATTGGTAACCAGATGTTTTTTGCACTACATAAATGTAGATCATCATATCAAATTTTAAATTACTGATAAGTTATAGTTTATACATTCTTCTATTTACTGGGAAAAATATTTTTTGAGTGACTAATAAAAAAGATCACCAGAACATGACCGAAGTAGTTGATGGCCTTGAAAGCTTAATTTAATTTGAACATTTTTAAATTGGAATATCTTCTTAAAATACAGTCACAAGGGCTTTTTGTTGCTGTATCTTAATATTTTTATATTCCTTGTTCAAAATTTCTTAGGGAAATTTGGAAACATACATATGAAGTAATTTCACTTAGGCAGATTATAAACCTCAGCTAATCTTAGCCAGCTTTTCAACAAGAGTCTGGTTTACAAATGACCATAACTGAAAAACGTTCACTTACCTATAGCAACTTGAGTTTACAACAGCAGCTAAGTTGGTATTTACCTTGGACTGATGGAAAGATTAGACTTTCATTTTGTAGACCAACAATTCAGAAACTGTGCTTTGTTGCTTTTTTCCTGTCTCTCCTCTTCGTTGAACTTTTATGAAACTTCCTTTCCTCACCATGACCAGACCGTTGTTGACTATTCTCTCTGCCAAGGCAGAAAAATGCTTCCATAGCCCACACAGCAACGTTTAAAATGAGGGACTAGCTCCCCCCTCCCCTTTTGTGTAGGCTGGTTAATAAACTCTGTGTTTCGTAGCATTGTTGTGAATATTCAGAGTGCTCCTTGCAAATGGTTTTCCTACTATCTCTGTTGTGTATCATTTCTCTTTATTTGATTCGTGGTTCTGAGTGGACCCTACCACCAACTTCACCAAGACCTTCATGTACACCACAACCCTTTCATCTCGGTCGTATCTGTTTTTGTACAACACCCAAAAACTACATGGAGTCTTTTAAACTTGGTGTGTTTTTTAAATCTTCTTAACATCTTTTTAAATTTTATTTTCCCAGTGCTACTGCTCTAAAACTAAAATCATTTCTTTCCAAATATTAAATCCATTTTTCTTTGCTGTAAATTTCCTGTGAAAGGAGGACTAGGTCACATTGCTCCTACATACAGTTCTTAAAATAAGTTGTAGATAATTACAAAAACTGGTTTCTTGTGGCTTGCTGTATTCAGTCCACCACAGTATGAACTTTGCATGCTAAATATAGCAAGATAATAAGTATCTCATATAATGACAACTAACTTTATGTTGGATTAGTCTGCATACTTTCGATTAGTGTGCATATTTAAGTTATTGTATCATAACTGCCAAAACTGATAGAAACAATTGATATCTTAACTGGTATTCTATTTTATTGGAGTTTGCACTAGGTTTTTAATTTCATAGTGTTACATTTAATTGAACTAAACTGATAAATTTATCGACATTAATCCGTAATTCATCATACATTTTCATGTCTGATATAATTTTAGTCATTCCATGTGTTTTTGTTTCATGTATTCTAATTCATTCCAGTCAGTCCAAATGTACTGTCTTCCATAGGTTATCCTTCCCTTCAAGTGGAGCTGGAAACCCCCACAGGGTTGCACTACACACCACCCACCCCTTTGCAGCAAGATGATTATTTTAGTGATATCTCTAGCATAGAATCTCCCTTTAGAACCCCCAGTAGACTGAGTGATGGGCTAGTGCCTTCCCAGGGGAACATAGAGCATTCCACAGATGGACCTCCAGTCGTAACTGCAGAAGACACTTCCTTAGAAGACAGCAAACTGGAAGACTCAGTGCCTTTAACAGAAATGCCTGAAGCAGTGGATGTAGATGAGAGCCAGTTGGAGGATGTATGTCTGAGTGAGTATCCTCAATACCTCGGAAATTTGGCTGGGGCCCCAAAAGATGTTAAACCAGCACAGCCTAGAAAACTAGGAGTAAGCTCTGCTCAGCAGGAGAAAGGAAAATCTGGTCCTGATGAGGAGATGACGGAAGAGAAACTCAAATCTCTATTTGAGGACATTCAACTTGAAGAAGGAGTAGAGTCTGAGGAGATGACAGAAGAAAAAGTACAGGCTATTCTTAAGCGTGTTCAGCAAGCAGAACTGGAAATGTCTTCAATTACAGGTTGGCAGAATGAGACATCAAGTGGAAACCTAGAATCGCCCGCTCAAGCTCGAAGAATAACTGGTGGGTTACTAGATCGACTGGATGACAGGTATGGCTGTTTCAAAAAAAAAAGGAAAGTGAAACACAGGTTACTTGTTAGAGTTTATCTTAAATACATGCTTTTTAGCGGTGACTTCTAAATTACCATTCTAGTTCTGGAATAAAACCTGCTTTAAAGGTCAGTTCATTCTGCTAATCTGGAAAGGAAAGTTAATTTAAATTCAAATTAAATTCTCAAAACTATTGAGAAGCTGAAATAAAATACAAGAAAATTTACATACATGCACAGGATTTAGATGTCTTTACTTTAGAAGACTATGGATGTCTTTACCTTAGAAGACTATTCTTTTCTAGTTTATTACTTGTATGATTCTTTCAATATAGCCAATAATTATTGTTCATTTAAAATAATCAGTAAGATAGGCAATCACCTGAGGCCAGGGGTTCGAGACCAGCCTGGCCAATGTGGTGAAACCCCATCTCTACTAAAAATACAAAAATTAGTCGGGTGTGCTGGCATGTGACTGTAATCCCAGCTACTCAGGGGGCTGAGACAGAATTGCTTGAACCCACAAGCTGGAGGTTGCAGTGAGCTGAGATCACACCATTGCACTCCAGCCTAGGTGACAGAGTGAGACTCCGTCTCAAAAAAATAAGAATAATAATGAATGAAAGTCCATGTTGTTTAGAAATATAAATATTTCTGTTTTTTCCTAACTGCAAACATAAATATGCTCATTATAACACTTAAAATGCAGATTAAACAAATCGATATACCCTGTCACCTACCAATAACATTTTGGTGGGTTTTCTTCTATGCACAGTTTTTTTAATGTCTTAATGTAAAAAGTGCAGAGAAGCAAAAAGAAAAGCCATCCATTCTCCTACCATACTAGGAAAAACTGATTTTACATAACCTTCTATTTTTCTACATGAGTCTTGTTTTTCAAACAGGTATATGGTTTTTTATACCAAATGTTGCCATGATAGACATTGTCTTTACCCAAAATAATTTCCTGGTCATGAATCTGGTTAATTCTTATACTGGCCTTGCTCTAGAAAGGTGAGAGTGTAGAATCTGAGGCATAGGTTCAAATCCCACCACCATTAGGTATGCACTTTGTGATTTTGGATGAATGTCTACACTCTAAGAATGTCACTCTGATTATCTTTAAATATAAGAATACTACTACCTTTTTTAAACAGATTTATAGATAGAAAATAATGTATCATGTCTACAGAATGACTGACACAAATAGTAATTTCTCAGTAGCACTAGGTATTATTTTTATTTACATACACATTAGACTAAAATATATTTTACTTCAATGACAGCTAGATAAACTTTGGTTGCACACAAGAGAACTTATATTGTTTCATAACCAAATTTTACTTTTCATGTCATTAATAAGCTTCTTGCTCAATAAAAATTCCCAAAGAGGGAGCTTACAAAACTACTTTTGAAAATTGGAGGCATGAATAAATTCTGTCTACCGTGTACAAAAGAGACAGTTCCAAAGAAGACAAACAGTACTAATTTTGATGTGTATGTTCAGATCTAGTCATACAACTTATAATTATATATCAGGGAATAGATATAGGAAAGATGTTCATTATTAAACAGGCTGAAATTCCTTAATTTATATAGGCTCTGACAGTAAATTATATAGAAAAAACACCAGTGAATCCCCTGATTCCATAGAAGGAGGAAAATGCCAGCCACTTTGCTCCTGTTATCAGAATATGTAGGCTAGGAGAACTTAGGTAAGCAATGTGGACTGGGGAATAGAAAATTAAACCAAAGTCATAAAGCTATATATTACAGGATCCTCACAGTATGCTTGGATTATTTATCCTGACACAGAGAATAGAGTGTGCAATGGATATCTTTTAAAAATAAGTTCAGATAATCAGAATCTGATTTAAAGGAATACACACACATATAAGTATATATTATATATATAAAGCATTGTATTAGTTATTGCCTAATAGTGGTAATAAGCAAAAATGCTAAAAATAATACATAAGCTACAAAAAAAAAAGTAAAAAACAGTCTATACTGAAACTTGTCAAAAACTTAGAAGTCAATTTAAAGGAAAGCATTGGAAAGGAAAGGTTTTTTTTTGTTTTTTATTTTTTGTTTTGTTTTGTTTTTTGAGACAGAGTTGCCCTCTTTTTGCCCAGGCTAGAGTGCAATGGTGCGATCTCTGCTCACTGCAACCTCCGCCTCCCAGGTTCAAGCGATTCTCCTGGCTCAGCCTCCAGAGTAGCTGGGATTACAGGCATATGCCACCCACCCGGCTAATTTTTTGTATTTTTAGTAAAGAAAGGGTTTCTCCATGTTGGCCAGACTGGTCTTGAACTTCCGACCTCAGGTGATCCGCCAGCCTTGGCCTCCCAAAGTGCTGGGATTACAAGTATGAGCCACTGTGCCTGACCAGGAAAGAGTTTTACTAGTTAAGGGAGAAACAGTTCTCTCAGTAGGTAGAAAAGGGTGCACAACACTCAAATCACTTGTGAGATGAGCAGAGTTAAAGAGTAGAGAAAAATGAGATTCAAGTAAAGGTATTAGAGTTGGAAAAGTGATGACAGGATTCATGACTGAAAACATACACTAAGAATTGGAATTTGGGGTTCTTGGGATAATACCACAGTCTTGACCACAGGAATTCATTTTGTTCTTTTTGGAAGACAAGGTGCAATTTTTTGTACAGCAGCTCAATCTTTGCTCACTGCAACCTCTGCCTCCCAGGCTAAAGCCATCCTCCCCCTTCCGCCTCCCAAGTAGCTGGCACTACAGGCATGCACCACCGTGCCCTGCTGCTTTTTGAATTTGGTTGGTAGAGACATGGTTTCACCACACCCAGGCCAGTCTCAAATTCCTGGGCTCAAGGAATCCTCCTGCCTCAGCCTCCCAAAGTGCTGGGAATACAGGCAAGAACTTCTCCACTGAGCCTGGCCAGCAGTTGATTTTTTACTGGTGATGGAAAAGCATTCTGAAATTTCTTTTTTAAGATTGGTAGGCTTAGACCTCTAGGTATGTCCATGAACCTCTCGGGATCATTGTCAAGATGCTCGAATTCAAATAGCTGTAGAATTGCAAGTTAAATATTTAGATGAGAGCATGGCTAAGCACTTTGGCAACTGAGATCTGGGGGATGTCTAGAAGCTGTGTAGCACCTCCTGACACCCACACCCTTGAGAGCCCCTTACATTTTATTTTTTTATCTTGAGACAGAGTCTCACTCTGTCACCTAGGCTGGAGTGCACTCACCTAGGCTGGAGTGCAGTGGCTCACTACAGCCTCCACCTCTCTAGTTCAAGCAATTCTCCCACCTCAGTCTCCTGAGTAGCTGGGATTACAGGCATGCACCACCACTCCTGGCTAATTTTATTATTTTTAGTAGAGGTGGGGCTTCGCCATGTTGACCAGGCTGGTCTCGAGCCCCTAACCTCGTGATCTGCCCGCCTCAGTTTCCCAAAGTGCTGAGATTACAGGCATGAGCCACTGCGCCCGCCACATTTTAAATCCAGTGGCCACATTTTTCAAACTTTTCTATTTTATGCCTTCGGAAGTAGTTTAAAAACACAGTTCTTAAAGCTTTAGAGCTTCTGAAACCTATATTCAGGCATATGTTGCCATTGTAAGTTTGCAACTTTTCTTTTACAGCCCTGACCAGTGTAGAGATTCCATTACCTCATATCTCAAAGGAGAAACTGGAAAATTTGAAGCAAATGGAAGCCATACAGAAATCACTCCGGAAGCAAAGACAAAACCTTACTTTCCAGAATCCCAAAATGATATAGGAAAACAGAATACTAAGGAAACTCTGAAACCAAAAATACATGGATCTGGTCATGTTGAAGAGCCAGCATCACCACTAGCAGCATATCAGAAATCTCTAGAAGAAGCCAGCAAGCTTGTAATAGAAGAGACTAAACCCTGTGTGCCTGTCAGTATGAAAAAGATGAGTAGGACTTCTCCCCCAGATGGCAAGCCAAGGCTTAACCTCCATGAAGAAGAGGGGTCCAGTGGGTCTGAGCAAAAGGTATGTCATCTGCTCATCCAGTAGCCGTCATTGAAATGGAAAGTATTGATTACTTCTTTGGATTAATCTTGTAGCCCAGGGTGGTGGTGGTGGTTGTTTTTAACCATTTCTAAATTATAAATGTGTGAAATTGTAGCACTAATGGTGGAGGTAAAGAAAGTACTGAGTAAAACACATAAGTAAAAAACAGTTCTGAGTAGAATGTATGACATTTGATCATACCTTCATTCATTGTGAAAGAAAAGGGAATAAATATCTGTTTAGCCATTTTTAGGAGAGACAAGAACCAGAGAGACATTAAGAAACTAGTTCAAGATCCAGTATTTTATCTGGGATTTAGGTTTCCTAACTCCTATTCCGTCTTCTTCCTCATGGGAGGAAGATAATCATTCTGATCCTTTCTGATTCCTTGGCATAAACAGTCTATAGCATCTGACTCATTTAAGTTCTATTCTGTATGGTCTGTGGTCTGAAAGGTGTTTTAAAAATTAAAGAGATGAAATTCCAAGCTAAAATGAGGTGAGTTTACAGCAGTTAAAAATTTAAAGTTAGAAATATCATTTTTTATAATGTTTTTTCTTTTTTTTGAAAGAAAGAATATAATTTTTATATCTAAGTTGATGATTGTCTTAACATGTGTTTCTAATCACTTTAAAACCTTACTATGATGAATTTGCTTGCTTTTCATACTTGTTTTTGTGGTACCATCTAATAGGTTTTTTTTTGAGGTTTGCTATTTTTAGATATAAGTATTTTGAACTGAAATTATGACTCATACATGGATATAAGAAAATAAAAACCCGCTCTGTTTCCTACATTTTTTTACTGCATTTTATTCTCAATTTTTATGTCTTTTCAACAACTCTGCAATTGACAGAGATTGAAAGTTATACATCTTTGGAATAGTAGCATTTGCAGTTTTTCCCTGAGACATATCTAGTTCACTGAAAACCTTACTTTAGTGTTTTGGGAGGAAAAAACAAGTCTTTTCTAAAATAATGAGTTCAAGATTGATTTGAGGTTTAAGACTTTTAGCAAACTCTCAATCGCTCAGGAGCTAATTATCAGCTTATCAGTAATATCCTTTTCCTTTTCCCTTCTGCAGACTATGTTTGACTATTTTCATGCTTGTTAGAAAGGAGAGTAAAAGGAAGTACAGTTCTAGATCATCTGGTTTTTTTCCCTGTTAGTTGCTTTGATACAAGATTTGATGGTGGTAATCAATTGCTTAAATTATATCCTAAAATAATCTCTAGCTCATTTAGTAACTGCCGTCACCAAATTTTATATTAATGGTTTTGTTTTTGTTTTAAGCTCTTTTAAGTCTTTTTCAGGCCTTTCTAAACTTCTTCCTGACAAATGTGGTTTTGAATATTGATTTCTGTCTTTGACTTGACTCTTAGTGTATTTTAGTAGTGTGAGTTTTAGATAAGTTTCCTATTAAAATGATCCCACAAAATATAGAGAGAAGCAGTAACATAGTGGTATTTTTCTTGTGAATGTTCTGCAAAGGGCTGTTAACGTTCTAAAGGCAAATTACTATACAAATACATATAAACACTGCTGTGTGTATACATGTGCATATGTATGCACTATTGGAAAACCATATTGGCCATTGGCATAAAGATGGTTGAAAATTAAGTTTTAAACCCTGAGTGGAAACTCAGCTGAGTTTGTCAGTAAAGGAAAATAATTTACGATTAGAAAACATTTTCCAGATTTCTTATAAAGGAGTTTGTGCCTCTGCTATTGGTTTCGAGTCCTATTCTAATGCATAAAGATTTCATGACCATAAAAATCCATAATGGAATTAAAGCTTCTAGGAGACATGAACCTGACCTCACAAGAAATCCACAAAGATGTTTAGGATGTGTCATTTGTGGCTATACCATAGTATAATAGCAACCAACTAGGTCATCTGATGTATGATCTCAGAAAACAGCCCCCTTTTTATCCTCCAAAAAATCAGGTCAAAAGTCCGGGTGCGGCTCTTACACGGATGACTGCCTGCTGTTATAAGGTAAAACTCTGCTATTTTCCACCTGTTTCCATGCAGTGGCCCATAGCAAAGGAGTATTGAGAAAATCCCATTTGGTTTCCTTGTTTTCCCCTTTACCAATTCTTAGACAATTCTCTAAAAGGTATCTGAGCCTGAGATTCTACTTCCATCTGCACTTTAAGGTTAGCAAAGACTCCAGGGAAAAAGTGGAAACTGAAACACTGGCCCAGTGGCCACTTTTTTAATATATAAGGGGGTGTTCTCACATGATTCTTTGTGTTTGTTTTAACCAGATATTCTTCTACTTTCGAATTCACCCAGGTGAAAATGTTTCCCCAATTTAAGATGCCATGTACGGATAATTCAGACTCAGTTTTCCCCTTTGCCTCATCCAACCCATTAATCCTAAAATGCTGACTAATAATTATTTTCCTTCATCAAAACAAATTCCTTTTACTCCTTTCTGCCTTCTTGAGACTTTGCAGGGCTTCCTCCCACAATACTTAGATCATACTACGTATCCTAAATTTACTGTCCTTTACTGAAAAATTCAAAATATTAATAGCAAATTTCACTTCTTTTAAGCATAGTGGTTATGATTTCCTTTCAAAACCATATTGTTCATTGGAGCGGTTTGTTGAGATGTAATTCCCTACAAAGTCTAGGCTGATATTATTGTTTAACATTTGAAAAGACTTGTCAAGTTTACTGTTGGTGAAAAAAATGGCCTAGTTTATTATCTATTCAACTAACTTTTCATAAAGCATTTTATCTAATAGCTATACCTCCTATAGCAATTTTATTTTGCTTCCACTTAAGAAAAAAAAACAGAATTCATTTTTCCAATAGTTGTTAACTAAATTCCTGTCTCTAGGACTATTAGATTTAACATAATGAATTAACTTCAAAGACAAAATAGCAGAATTATTTTCATAGTTCCACCATTAAAAGTTAGACTTATAACCACTCAGTAAATACTCTTCCCCCTGGCATCTAAGTAAAAGCTAAAGATACTTTCTCTTTCAAATTATGAACTATTTGCCCCTTGGTAGTTTTTCCTAATTCCTACCTTTATTGCCTAAAAATTAACATTTTTTGCAGTAACTATATTCTTGTTACTATTTTATAACCATACTCTTGTTCTGTTTTATATCCGTTCTTTCCAGCTTTCACGCATTTATTCCTTCATTCACTTGAATAAATTCTTTCTTAGTACCAGTTATGTGTTACATAGCAATTATGCTGTTATTAATCTCTTGATATAAATATATGTGCCAAAATATGCTAATATAAATACTTTTTTTTTGTAGATCAAATGAAATGTGGCCCAAAAATACAAGGGTATACGCATTCATGGCAGATGAATATAGATCTAAAACTAGTTTTAAAAGGAATATGAATGATTAATTGTAGTTTCTGATGCCAAAAAGGCTCCATAATTATTTTTTACTAATTTATAACCAGCCTGATCTTTACCTGTACACACACACACACACACACACACATATCTACAGAGTAATTTCACTTAGAATCCGGGTCAAAAATATTCTTCCACTTAATTTTTTTAAAGACTCTCACAAATATACATCATTATTTTCCTTAGTTGGCAAAAAAAAAAAATCAAGTAGATGTAATTCTTTTTGATTTCCCTTCTCAGAATATTTTTTAAGTGTGATGGTAAAATTATACTAAAAATGCATTTATCAGGATTTGAAAGACAGTGAGAGTGATTCAAGCTCAGAGGAAGAACGGAGAGTCACTACCCGAGTTATTCGCCGGCGTTTGATTATAAAGGTATCCTGTAGCTGGATCAGTATGTGGCATTGCCTTCCTTGTGGTTTTGAAATGTCAGCATGATTGATAATGCAGTGGCTTTGTGTAATTGTTTTGCACACTTGAAAGCTTGTAAAAACAACAACCAAAAAGCAAAGAAGCCATGTTGCGTGGTATTCTGTATAGGCCTATTTCATATGTGGCATTTGTAATTTCATTTGAGGATTCTTGGCATTCGCATCCTGCTTTCCTTGAAGAAGTGTTATGTGAGTGAGCAAAGACTCTACCTTGGTGACACAGTAGTTCATATCAATGAAATGTTCAATTGGAACCTTAGAAACAGTAATAAAGTGTGAGGTAACATAAAGAAGAAAGAAAATGAAAGAATTAAAAGGCTTCCTTCTCAGTCTCAAATTCCTACTGCCTTAAGATTTTTTTAAATGAAAACCAGTTCTTCATAAGCAATCAGTGGCTGAGAGTTTGAGGTTCTATCCTGGCATGGATATATGTGACACAATGCAAGTCAAGTAAAGAACAAAATTCTGAAATAGGTGTTTCACTTTACTAATATATCAAAAAAAATCAAGCTGTATTTTAAAGTATAGGAGTCAATTTTTTTGAAAAAAGGAAAATATTAATCCCACCCTATTATGGCACAATCGTAAGCACTGTTAATAAATATTCTTTCTTTCCTGCACAAAGATCTGTTGAAGCACTGACCTTATGCATAGTAAGATTCCACAGAATCCTTCTTGCAGTCTGCCACTTGTTTTCATTACTTCATCATTAGAGAGGTCTTTCTTAGTGTTAGAATAATTGAGCTCAAAAAACTAGAAAGCCATTTTCAGTGCACAGACTTTTGAATATGATCCAAATAACTTGAGGCTTCTTGGTTAGTGCTCTAGAGAGAATGAGGAAGAGAATATCTATTGAAAACCATTTATCAAACTTATTATCCAATCCCAAAGTGTCAAGAGACCCAACAGAAAGCAGAAAAGTTGGCACAGGTGTCAAAAATTTCTTAACCCTTCTGCTTTTCACTTTTCGTGAAGAAACTCCATAGAATATGCCCTAATGTAGTTTTTCTAAGACTCTGGAAGCATTAAGGAAGAAAATAAATCTTTGTCTACATGTTGAGAGTTATCCTGCAGATCAGTGGTAAGCTCAATAGTGTTCCTTTAAAACCCATGAATCATGTCTTTGAAAATTCCATATAGGCAAGCCAAAT